ACCCAAAGAGGGATGTGGGAGCCATTTGAAGCACAATATTTGTCATCCCAGTAGTGAAAATTTCTTTATCTGGGCCATAGTTCTCTGGACTTTAGACGGCATTTCTTATGCCTAGCTCTCGTAACACCTGTTGGAGCTCAGCATACATCTCCCATCTAACAGGAGAGGATGGTAGATCACCCGGATTGGGCCACACAGCCCAAAGTGCAGCCATAAGCCAAGCAAGGAGGGAGTGACTCCCTGTGGTCTGATGTGGATCTTGTAATCGCTGCCTCAAGGTGGGCTGCACTGTCAGAGAAGCCAGCTTTCCTATCTCTGATCACGACGGAGCAATTCCATCCACCCCTAAGTCCCACAGACACAGGAGCCAAGCTGATATTGACTCCGAGGGCTTCTGCCTAAACCAGGAGCCCAAATCCACCAGCTCAGCCTGAGTATAGTTGCAGAGCATAGAATGCTTCATAATTTGGGAAGAGAATTGCTCCTCTTCTTGGGGAACTTTCAGCTGCTGGGTCTTTATTTTCTTTACAACCACGGGGCATGCTTACAATACAAGAGGGGTCAGTGCCTCCGGCACCACCCTTTCATCCTTCCCCAGCTCTTTCATTTCTGGCGCTGATGGCACCTTTCTCTCCTCTCCCCCAAGTGTCTCCTCTGCTACAACCTTTACCTTTTCTACTTTGCCTCGTAGCAATGCTAGCTCAGTCTTAAGAAGCTCTCTTACCTGCATTTCAATGCTTCACAGCCATATCTCATGCCACCTGTGCCTGTGCTTCCCTCAGGAGTTCGTCTTTTTCCTTGATGGCCTCTTCCTACTTCAGAGCACCTGGCGCTGCCACCTTATTCTGTGAAGAATTTTTTACCTCTTCAATGGCACCTTGGTGCCAGCATTCTCATGCTGCCTCCTCTCGCATCAATGCCATTTCCTTCTTCATTGAATCCACAGTAGTTTACAGCTTGCATTCTCGTGCTGCCGTTTCTTGGGTCTCTTCTGTAGACTTTTTTAATATTGTGAGAAGCAGCCAACCCACAGTCCCCACTGCCTCACGGGTACCCTGTTTCTCAAAGAATCTATTTACTATACCAAGGGCCACCCCTACTGCCTCAGGTCTCACCTCCACTTCCCTCCAGTCCTCGGGTGGGGCCCATTCCTCTAGGAGGCAAGCCACCTCAGACCACATACCCACTGGGGGACAATCTACTGTCTCTCCATTCACAGGGGCAGCCCTCTGAAGCACCCCTCCCATAAGGGCAGCCTGTCTTTTTTCCATGGTCAACAATGAACCCTGTCGATTTTCACCAATTGTCTTGCAAATGGGTTTCAGCCCGGGCATGTTCGCTATGGATTCAATGTGACCAAAGAATTTGCCAGCAAAACGTTCTTTGGGGTGAAAGGGTTTATTACCCGGTTTGTTCTTCTGGCATTAGATGGAGCACTAGCATCTCTGTCTCCACCCAGAGCACTGGGCCGAGCTCTCTATATAGTGCAATAGTAGCTTATTGCCTAAAGGTGTAGAAATGGTAGCCTAGCAACAGGCCAGTTACATCATCAGGTGGTTTAAGTTCAGTGAGGATCCTGGCCATAGGAACCCCAACTTTCCCACAGATCCACATAGGGCAATTAGTTGATAAAACTTTAAAAAGTCTTCTAATTCATCTTTTCTCATCTCCTTGAAATTCACTGTGTTGAAGAAACTAGATTGTTTTTCCTATAGAGAAACCTACAGCCTGGGGTTTGTTAATTTACACCGCTGTGGTGTAGTTTAATTTGTGCTTCTGTCCTAGATCATTTATAAATTTCTTACCACATAGAGAGGTATGATCAGATTCAGGGCTAATTTTGTTGGCTTGACCACATCATCAATGGTATTGTGAATTTCCATGAGGAGGCACTTAATATCTGGTTGTATTTCATTTCCATCTTGTTAGTAGGTCTTGATGCTCATTATCTAGATCTGTTAACTCATTCAGTGTTGCGAAATTGTGATATTCTAATTCTATTACTCAATAGCTGGAATATTTTTATAAGCAAAATTTTCCCTCAACTACTGTTTGATTATCCTAAAGTTAATAAAGGAAAAGGTAAAATAAATGTGAGATTTCTAAAAATGTGCTCATTTTCAAAGTAAGCTGGTTCACTAGCATTTTCCACTGGTGACCAATTCACAGGTCAAGTGAATGGTGATCATGAAGTGATCAATGCAAACTTCCTTCATGTGTTTCAATCCATTGTAATTACCATCCTTATTGATGCTAATATTGTACCATTTTTAGCCAGGCAGTAGGAGACCCTTCAACATGCTTCTGAGTTCTTTTGGCAATCATCCTGGTAGTATTTGATAGTTCCTTTGTTATCTGTACGATCAAATGTTCCAAGTTTATTTTGCCAATTTCCTACACCAGACTTGACATAAACTATTTCTTCAAAGAGCTCTGATTCCTTTCAGTATTTTAAGACCACAGTCACAGTGCTAGTGGTTCTTATTGTCAGTGGGTTGATCATGGCTTTTAGTCCTTTTAAGTAAACTAAGAGCTAGAAATATGCTTATTTGCTTGTTTGTCTTTTAAGATAATTGACACCATATATTCATTCTGATACTTCTTAAATTCAGGAATAAAGTTTTTAACTGAACCCCCATACCTTTCTATATTCTTTCCCCCACATAGCAGGAATCCTAATCTTTAAGAATTCTCTAAGAATGACAAAATTAGAACAACACACACATGCACCAGTCTTAGAATTGCAATACCAACACTACCAGAGCAATATGATTATAATAAACAATTGATTTGAGTATGTGTCTGGTTCTTTTTGTTCTTAGGGTATATTCTACTCAAGGTGCACAAATTATAGCATTTAAAAGTCACTTGGAATAGCTCCTATTCATGTGGTTACTGGATATTCAAGGCTGAACAACAAAAACAGCAGGCAGGCCTAGGGACTGAGTTAGGGTGAGAGCGGCATGAGCAGGGCTCTCTGGTGGTACAGTAAGGGTCCAGCCTGCTGAGTTAGGAGGATGTAACGGAAGGTGAACAAGTTTTGTTTTGTTTGGCTGAAGAAGAGGGAGACACAGATGGACACATGAGAAGTGGAACTTTGGGACAATTAGTCACTGTAGCATTTACTAAGTTAGAGATAGGAAAGACTGAAGACATAGATGTCTGCTACAAGACTATTCAATTAATCCAGTCTCTTCATCCATCCTGTAAAGTAGCACCAGACACTGTTAGGCCACAAGGACTCAGCAATGAATTCTAGGAAGCTCACAGATGGTTGGACCCAGACAAGTGCCCTGTAGAACCTTAAGCTTTATAATAGAGGTGAATGTAAGAACTTTAGAGATATTTAGAAAGGGCACTGATTGGGTGAGGGGTAGGAAGAGGGTCCCTAGAAGGAGAAGATATCAAGCAGGAAACTGAGAGACATGGAGAGTGGATGTGTGGTGATAACACATTCTGGGGCAGAAGCAGTAGACCCAGGGGCAAAGGTGCAGAAGAGAAAGGGCATGGCTTGCTCCTGGAATGCAACTGTGGGTGGAATTGGGGATGCAGCCAAGTAAGAGATGCAGGCCACCGAGGCCAGATCCAAAAGGGCTTCAGTGTGAAACTGAGCAATTCCATTATGATCCGGAAGGCAATGGGGAACCAGCAAGAGAAGGGGGACTTCCCCAAACCCCTCTGGTGGGAAGCTAAAAAATGGACTGAGATGTTGACCAAGAGCAGGCAGTGCCCACGGAATTTTTTCCATGTTGTAATGTTCCCTGGTTGCAATTCTTCCATAAAAAATGGCCTGAACCAAGGCAGGCCTCAACCCCAAGGCATTTCTGAGATGGGCAGCATGAGGGGGCAATGATGCAACAGGTACACACCTATAGCTGTTGGAAGAAGAAAAAAGAGGGCTTACCTCCAGAAAAGTGGACAAGTGAGAAGGGACTCTGCTTGGGGAAGGACGAGGGCATGACTGAACAAGTCTGAGGAGGAGGAATGGGACGCGATTGCACAGGTGGGATGGATCATTACCTGCCTTTTGCTAATCCCTTCTCAGACAGGGAGCCATCCATGAAGGGGGCTGCCATGCTGGTGAGAACTCTCGCTGACAAAGAGAATCTTTTAAGGATGTGGACAAGACAGGAACTGAAGAGAAGTGGAACCCCAGAGTCCAAAATCCACAGAAAGGACAATGAACACACACATACACAGCTCAACACAAATGCAATCTACTCCTTGAAGCCCTCTGCTGATCTGCCCGGGCACATCAGCCTTTTCCTCCCCCACCACCTGCACCCCAGCTCTTCATTCCTCCTCCACAGCGTCCCGTGGGTGATAGTCTGCAAACCTCGCTGCACACCTGTGAGAGCCTTCTTCGCAAAGCTCATGACTGTCTCGGGGCAGGGACAGAAGTAAGGGTTAGGAGAGGATAAAATCAAGCCTGAATGAGGGACTTGCACAGGCGCACAATGGGGCATGTCCACAGCAGCACAGTTTATAAAAGAGCGAAAATTGGAAGTAAACTGAACTGTCTGCCAATAGAAGAGTGAACAAAGCAACCTGTGCTTTATTCCCACAGTGGGACCCTCCCAGCTGTGCCAGTCATGCCTCTCAGTAAGCAAGCTCAAGTATGATGCTCACAGAATGTAGCATGTATGGAAATGTGCATGTGCATAACAAACGCGAAATCTGAAAATCAGTAAAGAGGGGACCTGGGCAGGGGATGAGATGGTTGGTATGGGGGAACAGGACATAAAACTTCAATTACAACTTTATAGACTTTTCTTCTTAAAAATCTGAACTAAATATGGAAGAATGACTTAATAAAATTGTCTTTACTTTTCATGCTTGAAATATTTGCTATGTAAAAATATTACTTGATATTTTGACCTAATTTACATTGTAATCTAAAGAGACTTTTCTTTCTGTAACAGTAAAAGGTACAAATGTCTAGTAACTCCACAAGCGATATGAAAGTGGGACCTTAGAGTATATTTTTCTTCTTTTTTTACCTGAAATATCTGCTTCAGGGAGAAAAGGGCCCTTCTTAAATCTCGCCCATTGGAGTTGTACAGTTTTTCTGAAATAAAAAACACAACATATAAAATTAATTAAACTGACTCAGACTCAGTGCATGGTAAAAACAGAGAGCAGATATAAGGATTATAGAATTTCCACTGGGAACGTGAGCAAACCAAATCCATTTCATTAGGATACAGACGTCCAGTGGAACAAAGAAGAGTCTGGCCTGTTATAGGAGCAGGAAGAGGAGGGATGTGATAAAGGAGAATAATGTCCAGATTTACACCCCCTCTCCAAATCTCTATTGTTTACAGACTACTCCACTTGATGGCCAACTATATCCAGAAAATAACCATGGCCAAAATGGAACACATTCTTCCACTTCCCTCCCTCCTTGCCTCACAGCCCCCCACCATCATGCTTTCTGAAGCTGGGCTCAGAAAGCTTCGGGGCACCTCCTTTCCTTGGGATCTGACAGTCATCTGGGGAGACCATGGCTGTAAGGACTGGCTGGCTCCCTTGGTAATGACCCTCTAGGAAAGAACCCAGCCTTAGTTCTGCCTAGGCTCCCACCAGTTCCAGGATGTGTCCTGGCCCTGAGAGAGGCAGAGAGTGGAGCCCTGCCTTGGTAATCTGTGGCTCGGGACAGGCTAACCCCCACAATCCTACTGTTCTGTTGGTCACATTTAACATGTACAAGTTAGGCCAGGCCTTGTGAATAAGGAAGTGAGCTTGACCCAGGGCCCATCCTCCAGAGCTCACAATGTGACAAGAGAGACAGGAGTCAGATAAGTAGGCCGCAATCAGGAGTCAGACAGTGGGGTAGTGCTACAAAGTGCTAAAGGAACACAGAAGGGAGGCAGAGTCCAGTTATTCTGGTTTCTGTAGGAACCTGGCAGTATGGACTCTGCTCAGCTCCCCAGAACCCAAGCTTGGCCCTGACTCAGATGGCTCAGGTGTCTAGGGTTGAGGTCCTAACACTAGATGCCAAATCACTCCCACTATAGATCATAAACACATATTTCCTGAGCAACTGCCAGGAACTGTTCTAGGTACCAGGGGAGACTACTGAAGAGAGGACTTAATAATTGAGAAAAGGCTAATAAATCAGACAGCCTATATTTCAAACCCAGTGTCCCTACCTACTTGCTATGTGGCCTTGGACAAAGTATTTTACCTCTCTAAGCCTTAGATTTCCTAGCTTTATAATGGGAACAGATAGCAATAAATTTAGAGGGAAGGAAATGGCTTTGTGTTAAATCACACAATGATATGATGGAGAAGGATGCATGATTATTTAAGATTTATAAAAAATAAAAGAATTAAAATCAATGTCACATTGGTGGCTGGCCACCCTAGGCTTTGATCCCAGCATATAGAGAATAACAGGCACAAAGCCACATGCTCCTCCTGTACAAGTGGCATGGACTTGAGTGAGAGGGCATGGAACACACAGATCTGAAAGAGTTGGCAGAAGTCTGGTTATGAGAAGGATATGCCCACTTTGCACAATGGCCCTGGAAGTGAACAGGCTTCCACCTGAGAGAGACTTAAAAGGACACAGGTAGGAATCAACATTTGCATGGCAGTAGCTTCCACAAAGACCTCCCTATGGATTCTTGTCCTCCTCTCACGAAGGGTTGGGTGAAAGCAACTGTCTGATGACATCATTGCCCCCATTTATACCCTCCAGCGGCTGCCAACCACACTGAGAATGAAGTCCAAAATCCTTTGCATGACCTATCCGGCCCTGGGTGATGCAGCCCCGGCCTGCCTCCCTAGCTGTACTGCAGACATGGTCTTCTCTCCACTCCTTGGGCAGGCCAGGCTCCTCCAGACACACAACCTACGCACAGAGGCAGGATTCTGTGGGACTGGGGATCTGGGGGGTAGTGTCAGACCCCAAGGCCTTCTTGTTGTTTGACCCTCATAGAATCTACTATCTCTAAATACAATATGCAGTCCACAATCACTTGCTAATTATGAAAAATTTTGATTAAGAGAAAATACACTGCTTTCCTAAAAACAAGTATCTGGGTAAACATCAGCGGAATCAACCATCCCCAAGATGAACACCTAATTCATCATGAACTCTAAGAAATGAGGACCAGATGACTCTCCAGCTGACCTCCAAAGTGTTTGCATGGCCTCAAGATACATGAGTATAAATGGAGGGAACTGAGTCACCCCTATAGTAGAGCCCAGGTACTTGGGGTGATGACTTTCCAGTTTCTACAGCTAACATTTCAGAATTCATAAACCCTAGAGAAACAGACTTTTGTTTTTGCCACTTCTAATAGGTAATAATAAAGTTATCGAGTACAAGCATTAGGATACATATATCCTGAAGAAGAAGGGCATATTTATTTCATCCAGGAAGAGTATCCACAGGAGAGAGCCAATTCCAGGTACCTCTTTATAAGGTACTAAGGCTCACAACAGACTCACTTACCTACCACCAGATGACAAGCAGAAATATATCTTCAGTGGATTCTCAAGATCACAGAGTCTCCTTTAGTTACCAGTCATCTGTCATGGCTTCTCACATATAGAAATGAAGTTTATGGCTAGTTTTGTTCTGACTGTTAAGGTTTTAGTACTTGCACAGTCAAAATAATCAGTTTTTAAAATAGAAGAGAATTAGCTGAGAAGGACTTAATATTTTGTTGAGTATTTTTGCATCTATATTCATGAAGAAAATTAATCCTTAGTTTGTTTTCTTGTACGAAGCTTGGCGTTGAGGCAATGCTGACCTCATGACTTGGGAGTATTTCCTCTTCTCCGATGTTCAGAATGAGTTTGTGTAGACTTGGATATTATTTGTTCCTTAAATGTTTGGCAGAATTCTCCAGTGAAGCCACTTGGGCCTGTTGGAAGGTTTTCAACTATGACTTCAGTTTCTTCAATTAATATAGTACTGTTCTGATTATCTATTTCTTCTGGAATGCCTTGGTAATTTGTGTCTTTCAAGGAATTTCTCCATTTCATGTAAATTGTTAAATGCATAGGCATAAAGTTCATAATATTCCCTATCATCCTTTTATTTATCCAAAATAATTTCTCCTTTCATTTATCCCTGGCATTGATAAGCTGTGTCTCCTCTCCTTTTAACTTGGTCAATCTGGCTAGAGATATATCAATTTTATTGATGTTTTCAAAGAATCAGCTTTTAATTTTATTGTTTTGTCCATTTCCTTTCTGATAACTATTTCTTTCTTTTGTTTGCTTTGGGTTAATTTGCTCTTTTCCTCTAGTTTAAGGTAGAAACTTAACTGCTTTAAGACCTTTCTTCTTTTCTAATGTATTTAATGCTATGAATATATCTCTAAGTACTAGTTCAGTCACATACTGCAAATTCTGATATATTGTGTTTTCATTTTAATTTGATTAGAAATTGAATGAATGTTGAATATTTAATTCAATTCAAAAGGGAGTAACTTAACCCTATGATTTTTTTTTGATGTATAGTTTATTTAGAAGTATACTGTTCAGCTTCCAAATATTTGGGGATTTTCCAGATATCTTTCTGTTACTGATTTCTAGTTTAATTTATTCATGGTAAGAACATATACTTTCTGTGATAACAATTATTTTGAATTTAAGGTTTATTTTATGACCCAGAATATGACTTATCATGGTCTCATGAACACCTGAAGAGAGCATGTATTCTGCTGTTACTGGGTGGACTGTTCTATAAATATCCACTGTGTCAAGTTGAGTGATAGTGTTGTTCAGGTCCTCTATATTTTTACTTACTTTCTGTAGATAACTGTAAAAGGAGTGTTGAAATTTCCAACTATGATAGTGATTTGTCTTTTTCTTTCAGCTTTATAAATGTTTGCTTTTGGTGCACTGATGTTCTGTTATGTGCACTCACATTTAGGATTGCTGTGGCTTCTAAGTGAACTGACCTTTCAACATTATGCAATGTCTTTCTTCATCCATGGTGATATTCTTTGTTTTAAAGTCTACATTTCTAATATCAATATAGTCACTTTTCGTTCTTGTTTGAATGGTATATCTTCTTCCATTCTTTTATTTTTAACCTGTGCAGAGTTTCTTGTAAAAATAGTTACAACTTCTTTTTATCCAGTCTGACAATCTCTATTTCTTAATTGGTATGCTTCCACTGCATTTTTAACCTCTAGAATATCACAAATAACTCTTCAGTGACACTAGAACAGGAGACCTCAGAGAAGCCTGACAGTGCCTCTCACCCTTTGATGAGAAACATCTTTGTACAAATGCCAAAGATATCTTTGAGTGGTGCCAAAAAAACCCTCACCTCCGTTTCTTGCCAATTGTCTTTCAATGAAAACAAACTATAATTTCTATTAAAAAAATAAGTACTTTCCATTCCAATTGTCTTTATTTTTAAAAATTGTTTATGGTTATTTATTTGTTTGAATAATTTTCTATTTTATTATTCAACTTTGTTTGGAACAGATAAGTTCCCAAATAATTATTTATTTTATGCAAGAACATTATCTCTATAAACTTCAGATTTACAAATTTTAATTTTGTTTTTTTAATTATCAAAACTCAAAAGATCAGCTAACCTATATAAGAATATTACATATTTTGGCTAAAATGTGTTTAAAACACTCTGCTTTTGAACTCCATATGCTATAGAGCACTAGGTGAAGTCTAGATCAGAAATCCTTCCCTCTGACATCTGTTTATTTGTAGCTTTTTTTTAACCTTTTGTAAAAGTGTTGTAGTCTGATTTTTATGGACAAAGATACCCTCTCCCAAAATACCGCGATCAACATTTTAACAAATGTCATGCATTGGTCTCTCTATCACATGAAAACAATACTGAAGTCATAACCACTGTGGTTGAAATGAAAATGACCAAATATTCATTCAAAGAAATATGACTCTAGAGTACCAATTTTTGGATAAGCCAAATAACATTATCTCTCTATAAAAAAACAATATCATGGTGCAAATTGAAGTCCCAATGCTTAATTTAAAGTCAAAATTGCCATCTATTTTTAAAATATAGTGGTACCAAAATGTCTCTAACCCAACCTTACTTGTTCTATTAATTCTTAA